TGCCAGAAGCTGGGAGTGGACGACAGGATGGGTCTAGGGTGACCAGATGTCCTGATTTTATAGGGACAGTCCCTATATTTGGGGCTTTTTCTTATATAGGCTCCTATTACCCTCCAACCCCTGTCCTGATTTTTCACACTTGCTGTCTGCCTAGATGGGTCACTCAGTGGTTGCCTGTTCTGTTCATTCCCTCTGAATGATCTGACATTGGCCACTGTCAGAAGACAGGATGGGCTAGATGGATGATTGGTCTGACCCAGTATGGCCGTTCTTATGTTCTTCTCATGGAACAAATGTTTGGGGAGAATCCAGCCTAACTTTTACAAACTTGTTAATGATCTTGAGTTAATTGGCAATCAATTAATGAAGTAAAAACTGTAGTGTAGAAAAACCATTACACATTGGTGAAGTGGATGTAAGTAGGTCATAGGAGTCTCAGGCCAGGTCTAGACTGAAAACTTTTGCTGGTACACCTCTACCTCGATATAACGCTGTCCTCGGGAGCCAAAAAATCACGTTATATCGAACTTGCTTTAATCCACTGGAGTGCGCAACCCCGCCCCCCCGGAGCACTGCTTTACCGCGTTGTATCCGAATTCGTGTTATATTGGGTCGCGCTATATCGGGGTAGAGGTGTATAGCAATGTCTATAGGGTTTTGGGTTTGTGTTTTTTTTTCCTCCCAAAATTTCTGTATCAGCAAAAGCCCTTTTAAGGTTAGACTAAGCCTTGGGTATTTGAAGTGTTGTAATTTACCTCACTGCAAATTGTTGTATCACATCAAAATTTGGCCCAGTATAATGTGAAAATAAAATCTATAGCTGAGGCTGAAAAATGACTGGATATTTTAAATATCCTTATACTGGATTTACAAGGGATAGAGGAAAATAAAGCACTGCGAATAGGGGATGGAAGCTATTGAATCTGCAGAGAAAGGTTATCAATATTTGGGATGGGATAGCCGAGAGTCTGGACATATAAGTGAAGAACAATAATAAAGGTAGCCAGGGAATTCTGGGATCTTGTTGTAGGCCTTCAGGGCAGTTAGAGAAAGTAGATCCGGAAGTCTCAAGTAGATCTGGAAGTCTCTTTTCAGACAAACAAGGTGTGTGTGTGTGTGTGTGTGTGTGTGTGTGTACTGATAGATAGATAAAAGCTAGAGCTTTTATCATGGGAGATTTTAGTATCGCAGCTATTGACTGAGAACTTTGCAAAGACTAAGAGGGAAGGTTTTTTGAGGTAGAGCAGGTTTTTCCTGAAGCAGTTTGCTGAGCATCTTTTATTATCAAAAGCTGTTCTTGATAAAAAACTACAATATGAGCTAACAACATAAGTGTTGTCCTGGTAGCGGGGGTCATAAAACATTATTTTCAGGCATGGTTTGTAAAGTTTGCTCTAAAAAAATATTGTTGGTTCAAATTTAGATTCAGCCTGGGAGGAAATTTAAAAAAAAAAAATCCATATAGGCTTATTTTTTACTTAATGGTTATGTGTACGCACACTCCGGTATCTTAAAAAAATGAATTTGTTTTAAAAATAAATGTTTTAAAGTTCCTTCAAATACGTGTTTTAAAATTATTTGGGTCTAATATGTTAAGTTCTGTTTATAAAAAAAAAATCATTATTAATGGAAAGACTTTAATTTTTTAAATCACAAGTTTATTAAGCCTCCTCTTTCAAAGCTTTGAAACCAAAATCAACAGCATTCTATTAGTGCATGAGAAGCAGTAAGGGAAACTGAGGTAAAAACAAATGAAATTGATTAGCTTAGTTTCAGTGTCTTAACAATAATAAATGGTGAAAAGTAAACTAGGGCCTGAACCTACAGACATTAAACCTATGAAATCTCCTTTTGAAGTCAGAGCTTAAAGTTAAGTGCCTGCCTACAGGTTTGCAGGATTTTTTTTCCCTTTGAATTAGATTTAATAATCTAAGGCAGTGGTTCCCAAACTTTTTCCTGGTGTTGCCCCCTTTGGGTGGGGGAGGGAGTTGCAGACTGAGCCCCCCTGGCTGGGCTCAGCTCCCTGGTCCTGGCATTGCAACAGGGCCCCTGGCACACAGGGTTGTGTTGCATTGCTGCTCAGGTTTGGCCTGGCCCCCCCAGACTTGGGGGGAGGCTGAGCCAAATTTAGTGAGTGGCGCTGTGACCCCATGCACGCACCAGGAGCCAGGACACAATGCCCAGAGTGGGGATCTAAGCGCAGCCAGTCCTGCGGGACAGAAGCTGCTTCAGTGGGGACATATCCTGACTTTCTTGCATTTTCTTTCTTCCTCTCTTTTTTTCAACATCTCATGATCTCCTGGGGGTTGTGACCCCACAGTTTGGGAAACACTGATCTTAGGGGTGGATAATAGCGAAGTTACTTTTATTGATTATCATCTTAATGCCTCTTCAGTAGGTATTAGTTATTTGGCTTTTTTGAGTGGGGAATGAAACCCTATAGCAATAATTCCTTTAATCCAAAAGACACATTATGGTGATTTCTCATCTAAATATCATATGTTGTTTAGTGCCATGTGTGTGGACTACACAGCATGTTTGTTTTAAAGTGTGTGAACCTGCCTTGGTAGTTTATAGCTCAGAAACGAAAAAAGTCGCTTGTGTCTGAATATGAATCTGCAAACTGAAGCCTGATGCTTTTTAATCTATAGGTTGCAAATCATCCATTTTTTCTGTTTGTGACTTTCAGTTTTGGGGGTGTTTGGGGAAGTAGGAGAGTTGTATGATAGATTTTTTTTTTATCTTTGCATATAATTTTTGAAAATCTTATTGGGAGGCAATGTTGAATTTGCCTAGGCAGTGTAGGTCAGGTGGGTTGACAGTGAGTGGTGAAAGTTTAATCTGGCTGGTGCTGTTAGCCTGTGATCCCACACTCTTAGCAGGTGTCATTGATGCTGCTGAGAGACATTAACGTAGATTCTGCAGACTCACTTGATGAGATAATGAGCTACCTCCCCCAGATATGAGAGGTGGTGGGACTGGCCCCAGAGAATGAGATTGAACTGAACAGTCCTGCATTAGGAATCCTAGAAGCAACCTGGGAAGAAAGCTTGGGATGAACTTTGATCTGTTGTTAATAATTTCTTTGTTAAAAAGTGTAACCATGAGGAAGGTTTGTGTTTTGACTTTAAGTAATGTTTGGACTGTGTTTTAGAGCCAGTTAAGATAGGCACCTGCTCCCATTTTGTGGTGACAAAGCAGAACATTTTAACTTTGCTGGTTGTTTTTACATTTTTCTGATGTATGTACCATTAGTTTGCAAGATCTACTAAGTTCAGCTTTTTAATGATATTAATAATTGTAATTCTGTGCTCCTCACACTCTCATTGCAAAAATTGTGGTGTTCTTATATTTCAATAATCAGTTACAAAAGATTCATGTCCCAGTAATTATTTCAAATCACACACAATTTCTGTAGGTCGCCACATTCATAACCAAAGAAATTGTGTTCATAAGGTCAAAATATAGCCAAAGGACTTTGTTTCTGGGTCGAAATCAATTAATGAATGGTATGAATGTAATGATACAATTTGTACTACTAAAGGTAGACTTTCAGAAAGCCTGAAAGATGGTGTTACGTAAGTCTATTGGAACATATTTAGTGGACATAAAGAATGTTATCTTTCATAAAAGTCGGGGTGGGAGGGAGAATTACAAGAAAAAATAAGGCCCTGATCCTATAAACACTTATGCATATTCTTAAATTCTTAAAAAAATAATGCTATCTGTTATTAATTTATATATCTATTTTTGGGGGGAAATAGATTTACTGAAGAGGTATATGTTGGTTACCTTATTGGCTTTTGGTTACTGATAGAGTTTTGTAATAACAGTTGTATTGTGAATATTGGTTTGCATGAAGCTTGTGTTTTTCTCATTTTAGAGAAAATTCTGAGGCCTCCCCATTCCAGCATAAACAGTAAAATATTTGTGATTGTAATTCATTATGTAATATTCCAATTGTATAATGTGCAATGTTCCTGACTACAGCAAGTAGACATATGTCGAAATGGAACAGATTAACCTAATTAAATATATACGTAGAACTTTATGAATTTCAGCTCCTAGCATAAAAATGTGATTACCATCCATGAAGCCAGGAAGGAATTTTCCATTTGTATCTGACTTTCACTTCTATGTATCTTTTTGTCTTTGATACTTTAAATCATTTGTTGTCTTCCCTGGGCATTCGCTTAGATCCCAATCCTGCAAAGATTTATGCAAGTGCTTATCTTCAGACACGAGTAGGTCCATGTGAAGTCAGTGGAATTGCTCACAAGGCATACATTTAAGCATATACCTCCTCCTTTGCAGGAATGGCGTCTTACATGAAGACAATATTAATTTGAGTATAATATAATTTTAGAATGGTAATGCCAGTATAATATGTTTACTTTTTCCAAGCAAAAATATAGATTCCTTCTGTATATTTCACATTTGACTGACTGTCAAGTGTTAGGCTCCAGTTCTTTCCAAGACACACAATCCTTGCACTTTATAATATATTGCAAGAGGTGCATTAGTATTTTTAAAAAAAGGAAATTAGTAAACAATAATTGTAGGTAGACTCTATTGGTAGATGCTTTCATTTTTAAGTATTCTAACTTCTAGGATAATACATTTTACTTTCTGTTCTGCCAAAGTTTTCTGACCAACTTCAATGACTGGCCAGATTATGATTGTTTCTTTAAAATATGAACAATGATTTAGTCTGCTTTGCTTGTCAGAAGTTGAATCAATTTTATTTACATAATAATAAATGTTTACTTTTCAAGAACACCCACCAACTTACCAAAAATACTGAAAGGCACTTGTTCTTAGCAAGACCAACATAGCAAAACATATATGAAGTTCCTAGAGCAAGCCATTTTAGAGAGATCATGAACAGAATTTTTTTTCAAAAAGCAAATTTTTTTTTCTAGCCAAATTTTCAGGAAACCAAAACTTTAAAATTCTTTATCTGATTTTTAGCAAACTTCCGGAATAAAGATATCGTAGAAAGAGATGTGAAATGCAAGATTTTAGGAAGACTGTTTTCTGTGTTGAGAAGTTACGAGGCTGAAAATCGGTTTTACAGTGAAAAGGTAGCTTCTACCCCGTTAACCATGGAGCAACCTCTGCCACTACATAATAGATTAAACACCAGTGAAAACTCTGCATAAAGCAGGTGAAGTATTGCATCATGTAATTGTTTTCTACTTTTTAGGAATCTGTATTAATTTACCCTTCATTGACTTTCCCTCACACACTGCATCATGTTATAATTTACTGTCTTCTGTTTCAATGTCCTGCACAAACTCTGCTCCAGGCTTTATCTCAGACTCATAGATTTTAAGACTGGAAGGGACTCTGATGATCAACTAGTCTGACTGCACAGTGCAGGCCACAGAACCTCACCCACCCACTCCTGTAGTAGGCCCATAACTTCTGGCTGAGTTACTGAAGTTCTCAAATCTTGATTGGAAGACTTCAAGTTACAGAGAATCCACCATTTACTCTAGTTCAAACCAGCAAGAGACCTGTGCCCAGTGATCCAGGGGAAGGCTACCTTCCTCCCCCCCTTCCCCCCCCAAGGGTCTCTGCCAGTCTGACCTGAGGGAAAATTCTTTCCCCATTTCAAATATGGTGGTCAGTTAGATCCTGAGCACATGGGTGATATCCACCAGCCAGACACCTGGGAAAGAATTATCTGTAGTACCCCAGAGCCCTCCCCATCTAGTGTCCCATCTCTGGCGGCTGGAGATATTTGCTAATAGCAGTTGCAGATGGGCCATATGCCATTGTGGGCAACTTCATCATACGATCACCCCACTAAACCTATCAAGTTCAGTCTTGCAACAAGTCAGTTTTTGTGCCCCCACTGCTCCCCTTGCAAGGCTGTTCTAGAACTTTACTTCTCTGATGGGTAGAAACCATCATGTAATTTCAAGCCTAAACTTATTGATGGCCATATCTTGTCTCTTACTCTGCCCTGCCTATCACCTTGACTCTGTCAGCTTCAGGTTCAATTTGTTTCTTTCTCTCACCTTGTCTCTGTGGTGTTTTTACATACTGTCCCCATAGATGGAATAACCTTCTAATACAAGTTTGCCAAGCCATCACCCCTTTTGTGATCAAATTCCTAGTAAGGACTCATTTTTTCTATGAGGTCATTGAGTTATGAGTTAATAAGTAAATGAGATGAAAAAATAGCACTTCATGTTTTTTCCCTTCCCTGGGTGCCCTGTCTAATCTGGGTCTCTCTCATCTCTGCAGGACAGAGACTGTCTCTGTACTTGTATCCTGCGCAGCCCCAAATAACAAATAATAAGGCTATGTCTACACTTGCAGAGTTTTTGCGCTGTCAGTTTCAACGGTGATTGGGAACCAGTGAAAGAAAAGCGCTGGTTTGTGTTCTCACTTCTACAGGCGTCAGAGAGGGTTCACATTTGCAGCACTTCCATTGCCGATGAGAGCAGCGCACTGAGGGCAGCTATCCCACAGTGCAGCTCTCTCCATTTTGACGATAGGTCTTGTGGGAAGGGGGGTGGGTGATCACGGGGCATCCTGGGTCCCTGTACAGCCCCCTCTCCCCAAACACTGATCAGCTCCAGTAGCTCAGCATTGCTCCAAGCAGGGGATCCTTTGCTCCCTGGAGCAGGTATTGTCACCTGGCCAGATAAGTGAGCACTTGCCAAGAAAACAGGAAGGGGAGTTTCAAAGTTCCCGGGGATTTACAGGAGGAGGGGTGGGCGTCTGTTTACCTGGCGTCAGAGCAGCAGAGCTGCTGGCCAGAGTGGTCACCTAGGCACTGTGGGATATCCTGCAGAGGCCAAAAGCTCTGTAAACAGGAAGAACGCGTCTTCAGTTGCACATCACTGCAAAAGCATCACCGGTAAGAGCTGAAAGTGAAACTTCTGAGTTTCACTGCAAAAAGTAATTGGCAAGTATAGATGCTCCCATGCACGAAAAAGGGACTTTTCCCACTTTAAATGGCAAGTGTAGACATGCCCTAAGTCTGTCCCTTTGCTACAGCTGTGGGGAGATGAGGGAGCATTGCAGGGGCACTGATTCAGACAGGGCCTCCCAGCTCCGTTCCAGAATCCAGTGCCCCTTGTTTGGGAAGTACCCAGATGCCTCTGGACCTGTTGAGTCCTGGAAACTGTTGCTTATACCAGTGTTAGGGGCTGGTTAGCAAGCCAGGCAAATTGGAAATTCTCATTGATGAGAAGAAACATAATATAATTGGCACTACTGAAACCTGGTGGGTGATTGGTATGATTGGAATGTTAAAGTCACTGGTTATAACCTGTTTAGGAAGGATGGAATGGGTACAAGGCGGGTGTTTGCGTCTGGGGGGGAGGAGGGGTTGGGGGGGAGCTTTTCATTAAAGGCACTAGTATGTGTTGTAGAATTACTGATAGCTCAGAACCACAGGATCTTGAATGTATGTGGATGTATGTGTATGTGTATGTTAACATGCATGGCCTGGGCCAGGAGGGGAGGGTGTATTGTGTGGGGAGTAGTCCGTTACGACCACAGAATCAAACTAGAGAACAGGATGAGTTACTCATAAATAGGGCTGTCAAGCGATTAAAAAAAATTAATTGCGATTAATCACGCTGTTAAACAAAAATAGAATGCCATTTATTTAAATATTTTTGGATGTTTTCTACATTTTCAAATATATTGATTTCAATTACAACACAGAATACAAAGTGTACAGTGCTCACTTTATATTTATTTTTGATTACAGATATTTGCACTGTAAAAAACAAAATAAATTGTATTTTTCAATTCCCGCATTGCAAGTACTGTAGTGCAATCTCTTTATCATGAAAGTTGAATTTACAAATGTAGAATTATGTAAAAAAAACCCACCTACATTCAAAAATAAAACAATGTAAAACTTTAGAGCTTACAAGTCTACTCAGTCCTATTTCTTGTTCAGCGAATTGCAAAGACAAACAAGTTTGTTTACATTTGCGGGAGATAATGCTGCCCGCTTCTTGTTTGCAATGTCACCTGAAAGTGAGAACAGGTGTTCACATGGCATCCATCACAAGATATTTATGTGCCAAATGCCGTGAAGATTAATATGTCCCTTCATGCTTCAACCACCATTCCAGAGGACATGCGTCCATGCTGATGACCGGTTCTGCTCAGTAATGATCCAAAGCAGTGCGGACCGATGCAAGTTCATTTTCATCATCTGAGTAAGATGCCACCAGCAGAAGGTTGATTTTCTTTTTTGGTGGTTTGGTTCTGTAGCTTCCGCATCAGAGTGTTGCTCTTTTATGACTTCTGAAAGCATTCTCCACACCTCATCCCTCTCGGATTTTGGAAGGCACTTCAGATTCTTAAACCTTGGGTCAAATGCTGTAGCTATCTTTAGAAATCTCACATCTTTGCGTTTTGTCAAATCTGCAATGAAAGTGTTCTTAAAACAAACAAGATGTGCTGGGTCATCATCCGAGACTGCTATAACATGAAATATGTGGCAGAATGCAGGTAAAACAGAGCAGGCGACATACAATTCTCCCCCAAGGAGTTCAGTCATGAATTTAAGTAACACATTTTTTTTTTTAATGAGTGTCATCAGCATGGAAGCATGTCCTCTGGAATGGTGGCTGAAGCATGAAGGGGCATACGAATGTTTAGCATATCTTGCATGTAAATACCTTGCAATGCCAGCTACAAAAGTGCCATGCGAACACCTGTTCTCTCTTTCAGGTGACATTGTAAATAAGAAGCGGGTAGCATTATGTCCCATAAATGGGAACAAACTTTTGTCTTCGCGATTGGCTGAAGAAGAAGTAGGACTGAATGGACTTGTAGGCTCTAAAGTTTTACATTGTTTTATTTTTGAGTGCAGTTATGTAACAAAAAAAATACATTTGTAAGTTGCACTTTCACGATAAAGAGATTGTACTACAGTACTTGTATGAGGTGAATTGAAAAATACTATTTCTTTTATCATTTTTACAGTGCAAATATTTGCAATAAAAATAATATAAAGTTAGCACTGTACACTTTGTATTCTGTGTTGTAATTGAAATCAATATTGAATAAGTAGAAAAACATCCAAAATATTTAATAAATTTCAATTGGTATTCTATTGCTTAACAGTGCGATTTAAAGCTGCGATTAATCGCAATTAATTTTTTTAATAACGATTAATGTTTTTGAGTTAATCGCATGAGTTAACTGCGATTAATCGACAGCCCTACTCATAAAGCAACTATTTAATGTGTAAGGGGAAAAATTGTGTTGTGGGGGCTTTAATTTGGGTTACATATGCCTGTGGTCACATACAGCCAGTAGTGAAACATCATTTGAATTTTTAAAAATTCTAGATGATGGTTTTCTAACACAAAAGGTTTTGGAGCCAACATGGAAGTAACTATATTTTGGACCTCATTATGACAGATTAATGTTAATTAATCACTGGATTGGAAGTTGGTGGTTGCTTAGGGTCCAGGGAATTACATTAAATATGGGCAAACAGAGGACAGTCCCAACCAGTAATATATATTCTTGCTGCTTCAAAAATTCTGATTTTCCAAAGTGAGGAAAATGATGAGTGAAATTGACTGGGAGGAAAAATGTAGACAGAAAAATGTGAATAAAAATTGGGAATTCCTTAAAAAGAGTTTATTAGGAGTCCAAAGAGCCACAATAGCACAATCAAGAAAGAAGACAACTTTGGCTGAAAGCCAGCAGTGGTTCAGTGGCACAGTGTGGGCAGCAATTAGAAATAAAAAAGCAATATACAACACCTGGTGTGAAGGAGAGTTCTATCCTTTTACGGGACAGGCTGGAGCTTACAGCTGGGACAGCCTGGGATTTAATCAAGGAGGTCCCGCCTGGCCCGAGGGTTGGGAAGAGGAAGCTGAGCAAGAGAGAGGACAGTAAAAGCTGTGCACGCTGCTGTGGGTGGTGGTGGTGGTCCTTTTCTCTCAAGTTCTAGGAGACTGGCCTAACTAGACACTTTGTTTGTGAACCTTAAGTTTGGGAGCCTAAGGTGAGGATCTGATGAACTGTGAATTGTAATTGCTCCTGTTCTGACCGTATTAAAAGGGAACATTCAGTGTGTGTTGGCTTTTCCTTGCCCTGGGCTGTTGAAGGGACCGATACTTTCCCCCAACTGGGACAGCAAAGTTGGGGGCACACCCACAGGACCACACT